CTTGAATTCTCATTTCTAGGCCGCAGCTACCCCAACCGCGCAGGAGGCCACTCAAGAGGCAATTCCGAAACCCGTGAGTCCACTGCTTTCTTCTAAATGGTAACTGTTTTCTTGCATCTCCATTTCGATTTAGGGCGAAGAGACCGCGCCAGCACAAGAGGCGATTTCGAAGCCTGTAAGACCAAAGTTTTAGTTTTCTTTTTCACGTCCTCTTCAATTATTTCTTCGTTCGAGTCCTTTCTTATAGTTTCCCTTCCAGGCCAACGTTATTCCAGCTGCACAGTATGCGACCCAAGATGCGATTCCGAAACTTGTAAGATCAATATATTAATCTACTCGTATAGTCTACCTTTACTTGTATTTGATTCTATGAAAATAGAGGATTGACTATGGGTTTCTTTGTAGATGTAACGATCCGAGAGAAGAGGCTCCTACATATGTCTCACATTAATTTTTTATTACTTTTTAGGAGCAAAGTTCTTTGACGATATGGGAACAGTGGCCGCAAGAGTACACTGCAAGGTCATCAGACTCTCCCTCAGGGTAACTACTTCTCTATCATTTTTCAGCGAATCATACCAGCTCTCACTTGTCCACCTTCATTACGTCTCGCCAGAATATGTATTTTCGAATTTGTCACAATAACACCTGTAGCTGATTTTTTTCAGACGGCTGGCAACGGCCCAAGGCCCAGTAACGGTTGTTGACGGAACTCAGCCTGATGAAGGTGCGTTATGCCTTCCATATATTAGTGTGAAATTTTAGGCTGTCGCAAAAATAGTTGCGGGCTTTTCCACTTTGCTCCAAATGCCTTGCTACTGTTAGAAGAAGTACTCCTACTTATTTTTCATCATTCTAATGCTGCTTGTTGGATTCGCTTTGACGACAGCTTTCGTTGTCCACCGAAGACTTGCGACCGGGACCAGGTTGATCTCGAAGGCTCTGCGGAAGCAAATTGAAAGCCAATGCAGTACGGTTGCATAAAAGGCGATCCCCTCCCCGAGCATGGTCAACTTTGTAGGTAGCTTCGGCTATAGAGTGGTCCAATCCAATCTTGTGAAGCATGAAGACGCGAAAATCGTGCTTATCCATATTGGGTTCATGATTATGTAGATACCCAAACATCCAGTAATGCACAAAGGAGAGCTTGTAACTCTCGGGGCCGCAGAACAAACATTGAAAAGATATGAGATCAGCTGTGCGATCGTTCTCGCAATAGTAGAAAACATGGCGGGAAATGCGTAAAACCGCAATTATTCTTGCGACAACCTAATATTAGGGAGTCCGGAACGTTTTGAGAAAATTTATTGGTTTCTTCAACATAAAACGTTACAAATATGAAAGGTCAATTATCAAGATTTGACATTCCTTAATTACGACGTCTTTAATTCGATTGGGCCAAGCACGTATCTTTCCATAAAGAAAACTTTCCCTTTGAGATAGTATGTAGACTTGAAAAGGCATGGTAGTCACAAGGGCTAAGGTCAGTTCAATATGGAGGATGGGACTCATTTGATACCAAATCTCCCCAGCTCCTCCGTCGTCGCCTTCGCGTGGCGTGGTCGAGCGTTGTCAACCACAGTGAGTACCATCCTTTAGTAGAATAGCCTTGCAATCACAGTGATACTTTCGGGTAGGATTTCAAGTGTAAGCAGCCAGCGGAGCAGAGAAGAATGAGATCGTATCTTTCTTAGCGTGGGCCCGTTTGTGACAGATTCTCCGTTCACGTTCATTGATGGCCACTACAACTGCCTGTGTGGACTTTCATACGAAATTCACTTTCACACTGAGCGATAATGAAGCTTCTAAAGGCTAACGTTCACTTGCGGCAAGGAACGTTTAGCACACATGGCCCCGCACCTGATACTCACGTTCAGTTATAGAGGGAAGAATAAAACAGCCGGGTGTTCTGCACGAATGTGGGTTCCACGTAATATGCCGCGGATAATGTGACGCGGAACATAGGCCGTTCTCCGTTTCCCTTGCACTTTGGGGGAATTGCATTGGACGGAGACTAGAACAGGGTCTGTCCTGGAAGAGCGTTGACATCCAATCCGTGGTGCTTCAACGAAGCAGTCGTACCACCTACGTATTGCGAGGCGAGAGAGAGCGCAGTACTGCCCATCGACAATGTAAATCATTCCGGGCTTGAATGGTACACTGACCAAATTGGTAGCCATGAAGCAAAAAGTGTCGGAAGTCGTGTCGATCGCTCAATGACGAGTCGAAAAACTTACTTTCAACAACGAAGTAAAACACGGATCAGCTACTAATGACCTTTTCGGCACTCTTTTCGCGCCATCTCTTCTACAGCCCTGTTTTGGCGCATTCGAATGCTTCCGACATGTTGAGGGGCAAAATTTTCTCAGATTTTCCCGGGCACTCTAATATTTCCCATCTGTATTATACAGAGATGCTGTGGAGGCAAAAGTCGCTGCCGCCAACAAGTGTGAGAGTTTGGCAAGCTTTTCAGTTTCAACTCATCGATATATATTTGTCGTGCCCATGGTCGTAACAGCGAACATCAACGGAAAAGTTTACAGGCTCACCACCCATTACACGATTGCGGTATGTTTTTTATACTTAGGTCTTAACCTTTAGGGCTACGAAGACGCAACTCGCCTTCTTTGACGGACTTCCCTGTCTCTTCACCACTTATAACCCCTGTCATACACCTCAAAAGCCAAGGTCACTGCTTTTGGATGATAGACTTACGTCTTGATCAGGGCGACGATGTAAGTGGCAAGCGGCGAACTTAATACACGCATATTCACGGGTCTCGGATTAATATCTGCCCAGGTCGAGCAAGCCTTCCATTCCTCTGGGGTAGGTAAATTGGTACCAGACTCGTCTGGGAGGATAGAAACACTGACTTGTACATCGACTGGCCACCGCAAGTCATTGTATTGGCCACATACGCATTCAATACGCCACTACAATTCTGAATTGGAGTCGAATGCGTAGGCGCAACCCTCTGGCGAGGTTGATAAACGCGCCTAGATTTTATCCTATTTTTATGTATCTTGACCACTGCAGCTTCGAACAATTCCACTGTACGAATAATTTCAGAGTGATCGGCCAGAACTCGATTTTGAGCCATTGACAATCAATTTCGACGGGCGATTACTGTGGGAGAGGTCTAGCCGATTTCTGCAGAGAATTGATCTTGATTCTGTGAGTCTCTATTCTTCTTCCTTACTAATCCTAACCTGCAGTCTTCTTTGATATTCGTAGGAACTTCCTTTCATGACGCGAGTTGCTTTCCTATTTCTGGGTCTAACAAGGAAGGTCTTTCAGGGCGTGGGACGCTTTTTGAAAATGGTTTTTTGCATGGTGTAGGGGCATTAGCACTGAGTACAGAATTATGGTCCATCTCCGCTAAATGGCCTTCTGAATGCCAAAAAATGAGTGAAAATGATTTTGTCAGAAATTGCCATTTTAACCCACCAAGCGTCGTTTGCTTCAATCATCTCGTCGACTGTCCGCACAGTAGAAGGCGCCAGTGGACTGTGCATTGAAAATAACGTGAACGGTAGCCAAAAAAGGGAGCCACATGTTGGAAAGTACGGGGAAGTTTCATATATGCTCTCCACCGCTGAGCTGCCGGCAGCGACGGATGGTGTACCGGTTAGCGATGTGACTTCGATTCGGGCGATTCGGCTAGGTCAACGGTTCGGGTTTTCTAGGCGCTGCCATTTTTGAATTTTATGCTGCCACCTCCACATTGGCTCCATATTGCACCATGGCCAAGCAAGTGCCTAACTGGTCATGTTCGTGATCATGAACAGCAATAACCTCTACAAACCAGTAGAAAGATACTGTAGTCGCTACGAAGTAAAAAGAGTGAATTTCTAGTATAAATGTACGATAGCCACCACGGAAATACTGCCGCTCCACGTGTAAATTCGATAAAAGCACCGCCACCTGGTATGGATCATCATAGATGGATCACGGTTTAGTGGAGTTCACGAACGGACCATAGGCGGCGATCATAAGAACGAATCTGCCCTCTCTCAGCTTTTGGGTGATCGGCTTTTGGGTAGTTGGCTCCCAAGCCGTGATGAACCTTTGAATGATTTTCTCTTTCAGTGTATCACGCTGTATTTTACTCACCTGTCTTACTCGCGATCCACGAGAACCGACGTTGCGACTCTGTACTGGTGAACGGCTGCTGCCACTGCTAGTCGCATAGGCGTTCCTCTTGAAGTGCCGATTGTAGCCCTGTTCATCGGCATGTTCATCAAAAGTGCGCTGACCGACACCCGCCGAGTCAGTCGTTTGTTTTCCGCCGGTGTCACCAGGATTTTCAACGGACATGAAGAGCACTGTGAACTTATAGCTCTTGCGACAGCCTTCCATCCGAAGTCACGTCATTTGGGTGATTTATAACATTATGGCGACGTGGGGATAGCCACATCATTCATTAGCTGTTAAGTGGGTAGGTCAGGTAGTACTTCCTTAGTGACTCGCAAGCACAGCTTATACCATCACCTTTGTCATAGCCCGCTCACTTTGCAGAATGGTTGTGTTGCTGTGTTACTTACAGGCAAATTTCAACGATAAGCCGCGATTTTTTATATCTTATCTTTCATTTCATTATTGTTGGCAAAAATGGTTTCCGCGGTCTGATTGTTATCTTGAGTAGGTTTAGCTTGTATGGGGTTACATGAAGGTGTACTTGGGGAGGGATAAGCTAGAGAGAATGTAGTGAGCGGGCACAGGGCGTACGTATAAATGCTGAACAATGAACTACCCGAAATTTGGCGACCTTATGAATCCCTCCATGAATACGACCCCTCCTTTCCTGAAGAAACCGTATATGGACACTACACGCGGATTCTATTATACTTCCGCCCACCAAAACATGAACCTATAATCACTCGTTTCAGTGTTACACATTCTTGATCAATTTTTACTGTGACGAATCCTCTCGGACATACACATGGACTGTGCATTGAAAATAACGTGAACGGTAGCCAAAAAGGGAGCCAATTTGGACGTGGCAGCATAAAATGCAAAAACGGCAGCGCCCAGAAAACCCGATCCATCAACCCAGCCTAGTCGCCCAAATCGAAGTCCACATCACTATCCGCCGCACCTTCCGCCGCTGCTGGCAGCTCAACCGTGGAAAGCATATATGTAACTTCCACGCACTTTTCAACATGTGGCTCCCTTTTTTGGCTACCGTACACGTTATTTTCAATGCACAGTCCACTGGCGCCTTCTACTGTGCGGACAGTCGACGCCATGAATGAAGCAAACGACGTTTAGTGGGCCAAAATGGCAATTTTTGACAAAATTATTTTTTGGCACTCAGAGGGTCATTTAGCGGAAATGGACTATAGTTCTGTGCTCAGTGCTCATGCCCCTACACCATGCCAAAGACCATTTTCAAAAAGCGTCCCACGCCCTAAAAGACCTTCCTTATAAGGGCACAACTTTTTGGTCCGGTTTCCACTTCTCTTGCATGCAACTATTTTTTTATTCTAGCTAAGTCCGCTCTTAATTCACCCATAAGTGCTAACAGAAAATTTTCTGGAGTGATGAGTATTTCTTAGATTACAAGTTGTTCAACCGGCGAAGGAACTTTCATGGAAAAAGAACCGATAAAGGCCACTCACAACAGTAAAGCATAACAGTGTTACAGTTAGTCAGGATAAGTACTAATCCGTTATCTGTGAATAAAAGTTTATTATTGAAGGTTAATAAACTTTTTCACACAATACTGAACAACAATCTTAATACCTGCTCGCTAATCACCAAGTAACTACACTGTGTACAGCCATATATGAATTCCACCTGAGTTCACGTTTCAAGGCAGAAAAAGTTTCAATTTGAAAAACGTGCTTCGCCCAGATCTCAAGTTTCGTGATTGATACCAAAGCCCCCATTCCGTCGAAGCACCCCAAGAATACAATTGTCTAAGCCGATGTAACGACCATCAATGGACTCCTGGTTAACTTGGTGTGAAGCACCGACGACTGCTTCCTTCAGCTCACTGATGCCTTCTGACTGCTTGTTTCCTCTTCTTCCTAAATCCCAACACATTCTCCACTGGATGTAAGACGAGGATGTTAGCTGGCCATGGCAAAAGGTCGACCCGGTGCGGATTGAGCCAGGCCTGATTGCCTGGAACAAAACAAAATTGAGGACGTTTACGAGGAGAAATTGCCCCTCGACCATGGCTCCTTCCTTGTAATTTCCTCTGGAAAACTGAAGCTTATCCTTTCTCAGATCGTGCCAGTAGGGACGCGGGCTTCCCTTCCACTTATGCAAAAACTGTAATAATCGGCAAAGCGGCTCCCCCTTATTTGGAAGAATTCTGATACTTTTCGGAACATGAAACTTGACAGAGGACTGGTAGGGCATGCATGGGGTAGTAATAAGAACCAATTGAAGGTAATACATGGTAAACGGATGCCCAATGCTCACTACTTGCCGATGCTTATGCCTAAAATCAGAAGTCTCGATCTGTTGTTGTCCATTTTGAAAATAATAATCAGCTGAGGGTCAGCTGGCAAGCAACTGAAACTGGATGGTACTCACGAATGTTGTCGAGTCATAATAACATCATTATAAAATGTCTTTGAAGCTTATTTGACTACGAATATATTAGACGAGAATACAAGATTATCAGCGGTCTGACAAGTTTTGCCAAGAATAGAGAAACAGTGATCCTTCATTGAGTCGCAAACTTTGCTGAGCAGCGGTCGCAATCTAATAGTAGGAAGAGGTGAACCAATTTTCACCTCTTTACTGTTAAGCACCTTTGATCGGCCTAATGAATGCACTTACCCCTCTTGTCGAACGAAACACATTAACGAGTCAAAGCTAGGTTGTAAATAACAAAAGCGTTAGGATTCAATTGGTTAGTGGATCTCGTTCTCTAAGGCCTCCTCTATCGTCAGTGTTCTCATCCTGTCGTCATGTTCCCATCGTGTTTGATTGATACCGGTCACAACTTTCAAATCGAGACTTTTCTAGAAACAGTACAAGTTTTGGGTAGTTCATGGGTGGGCGTACACGGAGCAGTGTAAATTCAGGTGTTATGAAATAGGATAGATATTGTTCGTATTGTTCCTATAACCACCACGATCATTCTGATGAAACGCCTCTGATCGAGAATCATAACCCCCTCCTTTTTGTTGCAGGATTGACCTTCACAGGTTCTTTTCAGTAACAGGCGATAGAACCTTTAAAAAGTGAGAAAGTAGGATACATCTCTGTTGTGCAATTCCCTATAGTTGAATTCAATCGAAATTTCGATGTAAATGATCATGGTAGCTATACGTTAATAATAGCTACGCTCTCAATGAGCCGCTTCTTCCGTAATTTCCAGGAATGAAATTCGGTAATTCGAGTGATGCAGATCTGTACATGTAGATGTTTCTATGTACTTCTTGAGTAAGATCGTAGGCGCCAAGATCGAAGGTGCGCGGTTGTGAACATGTGATGCATGCGTTAGGGTGCGAAGCCAAACTGCTGTTTTACATGCATATGTTGTAAAAAACATTAGCAGCCATATTGCCACGATGAAAACAAAAAAAAGCAAAATGTGCCGAAAGTGCCTCATTGGACAATCGATGTTCAAGCTGCTCCTAAAATTACAGATGGAAATGAGATTTCTTGTTTTCTCATTAAGAAGTCCAAGTATGTACCTGCAATACAGACCGAGTACAAAGCAGCCAGACTTCTGAAAAGCTACAAAACACCTGCACAAGAGAATAGATTTCAGAAACCGTAACTACTCTCCGAATCTGGATGCTTTCTGGATCGTAATCCGATAGTATGTGCGAAGCATCCAGAAAACTAAGGTTACCACAGACCGTTGAATATGCATCTGTTCTAAGAGATTGGTGAACAGACAGCTTTCAACCACTACTTGAAGGAACTTTAGAATCATGAGAACTTTCTCTCCACCTTTCGACCGAGAAAGCCAGCTTATTATAACATAGCGGAGCAAGTCGTTCATTTCTAGCTTCAAAATCATCAGTTCACCATTCCAAAAGAGTAGCAGTTCCGACCGAAACCACCGATATTGGGGAGCACATTTGCAACGCTCACCGAAGTTTCGCCGATCTCAAGATCAGCGCGATACTCCTCCATCGTTCTGATGGAGCAGTTGCTGCTCTCGAAAAGGAATGGTGAAGGCTATCTAGTTCCTCTACTCTGATCTCTTCGACAGTAACGGCTACCTGCCTAGCTACAATTTTAGGCAAGGTTGATAACTCGCTCCTTCAGATCTACTTTCCGAAATGCGACATGTCATCATCAAGTCGATTGGAAAAACTGTACGGTTTGGTCCTCATAGGATCAAACCAGAACATCTAAAAGGCTTTTCACCAGTTGTCACCAAACCCTGGCCCGACTTTTCATGCGGCACCTGTCGGAATGCAGCAGGCGCACGACGTGCAGCAAAAGTAGCAACTGTGTGGCAACATAAGAACGGAGACCCTGACGGTATTGACAGTTATCGCCCAATCTGCCGCTGTCTGCATTTTACAATTTCACACAAGTCATCCTCAAAAACACTGACAGAATATTGGATGACCAAGCGGCCACGCACGCTATCGCATGCGCTATGGGCTCTAGCTATGAGGGGCGGAGCCACATGAGCCGTTTTTTACTATGGACTTTAATAGGATTTATTAGTTTCCGCTCAAACCCCGCCTCCTGTGGGCGGAATCTGGTCCTGCTACCCACCGTAAGTGTTCCCATTCTGTCGCCTGTACTCCTTCCATCTTTGAACTCTCTAGGTCCAAAGGGACAGGAGTTATGATTTTCCAGAATGTTTTCATAAAGCATTGCATTTTCGGAGAACGCCCGCCCATCGGGGGTGGGTCTCCCCAGTTCGATCTAACTAACCAATGCTTACCTCTAGCCACCTTTAAACCCCAGGCTGAAGCCGTCTTGGAACTGAATTTGAAATCATGGCCCTCAGTATAGCTCGTTTCGATGCACGTCACGCCCACTATTGGCGGGGCTCCGATGTGTGCTTTATTCTTTTCGAGACATGGCCCACCCATCCCACGCTTGAAACAATCTCTCCAGGCAAATCTAAAGGAGCTAAGGAACTCCTTGACAGACATACAGACAGACTACAAAAGGACAGAACGCTTTATAGTAAGTAGGATGGTCAGTCAAAGCAGGTCTATAGGTCGATTGTAATGAATCTTCTTCGAAACACTGCAAACAAGCAGAGTTTCGGAGAGGGTTCATCACAAGCGACCACGTCCACATTAGACTCACTGCATAGGATCCTATTATGTCTGATGTTCCTCGATTTTAGAAGCCTTTAATACTGTCGAGGTACAAGC